AGAGCACTGTTTTTGGACCAGTCAGAAGAGGTGTTTACCGTTCGGGGCAGTGGTGGGAGAGGTGCAAATGAGCTACAGCACAGGAAAGGGCTTGGGGATCAGGAAAACGCTCTGTAGGACACTACCGAGTACCGCAGCCTTCCTCCTGAGCCCTCCACCGCCTTAGCCCGTTCTCTAACGGCCCCTTCTCGCAGGGACACCCAACCCTTCCGCGCTCCCTGACACAGTGAGCTGAGACCCCGAGCTCTGTACCGTGGAGGAGGCCCGTGAGGAAGCCATGCCGGGCTCTGGAGCCGCCAAGCCCCGGCGAAAGCCGAGCTCTTCGTTTCAGACCCGCCACCGCGCGCCCAGCAAAGCGGAACTGCGTCACCGACCGGAAGTGAGCTCAAAGCCGTCGCCGCGCCCAGGGCGGTGCGGAGCATGATGGGAGTCGTAGTAAGAGTCTAGTCGCATCGAGAGGCATGCTCCGAAGAGCCTCTAAGTAAAGCTCGCGGTAGACGAGGTCTGCAAAGAGAGAGGGTCAGAGCAGTCTGGGAAGTGTAGTCCAGTTGCGTTGGCAATAGCTACGTGGTGGGAGTCGAGGTTCCAGGAAGGGGCTGAGCAGGCTTGAAAAGAGGTAGGTGCTTGGCTCCGGGCTTGGCTCCGGGCTGAAGTCTGGAGTAAATCAAGGGCTTCTGGGGCCGCCTCTCCGCCGTGAGCCTACGGGAGCCTTTACAGGAGCTGAGGATCGTGTTGCCATGGAAACCTTCGCCCGGCACCTGAGGTGGCGGCCTGGAGCTGGGGGAGGAGGGTTGTTCTTCTTCGCGGTCCGGAAGTCCTCCCAGGGGCTCCCTCTGAGCTGGGTGCATTTGCAGTGGATTTGGGCTGCGGCGAGAGATTAAGCTCGAAGAGCCCTCTAGCGCCAAAGTACAGTAAAGACCCGTCGGAGGAGGCGGCCTGATTTTGTTGCTGTTCGTTTTGTTTTGTTGTCTTCAGCTCGGTCTTTGTAACAGATTGAGAGGGAGGTGATGGATCGGAAGGTGTCAGGTAACTCTCTGCACGGCCCTGTGCTCTGCTGGGTGCTGGGTCGTCAGAAATGAACAGGACAGGGTTTTTACTCCCATGTGGGTGTGGGAGAGATATCCTCAACAGTGCATAAAATGAAAATGAACGTTACATAACAATTTATATATCGTGGTTTCATTTATGGAAAAAAATTATATATTTTTATAGTTTCATTACAATTATCAGAAATACAGACATCCAATTAATAATACAGAATTTTCTACTTTACACAATCATATAGTGTTGGATCTTTTAAAATAAAAATAACTATTACTTTTATAATGTGAAAAAATAATCTCATTGTGAGTAAAAAATAATTGGAAAACTTCAAAAGGGAGAATATTGTGAACCACTCTAGCTCCAAACCAATGCCAGAACAATGTTCATTCTCCAGAAGACAAATGGAATCAATTTGAATCCAAATGCACACTGAATTTCTGGTTAAATCACTAATTCATGGAAGAAAAACTGTACAAAAAGTTGTAAGTAAAAGACTCTTTGGATGATTCTAAAGATCTAAAGATGCAAGTTTAAGAAATGAATTTTTTTTTCCTTTTGAGACAGGGTCTCCCTCTGTCACCCAGGCTGGAGTGTGTACGTAGCTCACTGTAGCCTCAAACTCCCGGGCTCATGCAATCCTCCCTTCTCACCCTCCCACAGTGCTAGGATTACAGGTGTGAGCCATCATGCCTGGCCTGCAAAATTTTTTGACATTACAAAAAGGGTGATATTTAAGTTTAGGAAGGTATTCATTACAGAAAATTGGAGCATCAAAGGTAAAGATGGGCTCACAATTTACATCTTACCAGAGGTTATATTAATATTTCCTGCTTCGATTCCCGCTTTAAGTCCTTCTTTTCCCAAAATCCCAGACTCTCCTTTGGCCAGACGTTCCCTCTCCTTCTCTTCCAAACTTCCATAATAGATGTGTGGTTTCTTTACAACAGGAGCGACTAAGTCATCAGGTGCTTTAGTTTTGGCTGCCTGCTAAATATCAAAGACTTGGATTAACCTAAGGCTTAATCTTAGCAAATTTACTGGGCATCCCCAAAGGATGAAGCTCATCCCAAGCTTCAATCCTATTTCCTCCCCAAGTGAAAAGATAACCTAGACACCAGCTAAGATGTTTTTCACTGATTTGTGGGGTTGGAGGGAGGATGTTTCAGTCCCTCAATCACCTAAGTTTGGTAGATAGGGAGTAAGAGATTGATAAAACTAGTATCATTCTCTTGGTGACTTTTATATCAAAGGTTTGCTTTCAAACATGTTTTTACTCCATTCTGTTGGAAGTGCGGCCTCTTCCTTTGTTTTATGATACTTCTAGGGTTGCTGCTCATCACTGGGAAAGACCAAAGATAACTGAAATAACCAAAGCTGTGCTAAGGGGGAACAAGTCACATAGTTACTAGTCTATACATTTCAAACATTTTCAGACCTGAGGCTGTAAAAGGAGGCCTCATAATTTCGAGGTCTGACAAAGACATCAATTTTGGCCAAGGCATTTCCCATTTCAGAGCACTGTTTTTGGACCAGTCGGAAGAGGTGTTTACCGTTCGGGGCAGTGGTGGGAGAGGTGCAAATGAGCTACAGCACAGGAAAGGGCTTGGGGATCAGGAAAACGCTCTGTAGGACACTACCGAGTACCGCAGCCTTCCTCCTGAGCCCTCCACCGCCTTAGCCCGTTCTCTAACGGCCCCTTCTCGCAGGGACACCCAACCCTTCCGCGCTCCCTGACACAGTGAGCTGAGACCCCGAGCTCTGTACCGTGGAGGAGGCCCGTGAGGAAGCCATGCCGGGCTCTGGAGCCGCCAAGCCCCGGCGAAAGCCGAGCTCTTGGTTTCAGACCCGCCACCGCGCGCCCAGCAAAGCGGAACTGCGTCACCGACCGGAAGTGAGCTCAAAGCCGTCGCCGCGCCCAGGGCGGTGCGGAGCATGATGGGAGTCGTAGTAAGAGTCTAGTCGCATCGAGAGGCATGCTCCGAAGAGCCTCTAAGTAAAGCTCGCGGTAGACGAGGTCTGCAAAGAGAGAGGGTCAGAGCAGTCTGGGAAGTGTAGTCCAGTTGCGTTGGCAATAGCTACGTGGTGGGAGTCGAGGTTCCAGGAAGGGGCTGAGCAGGCTTGAAAAGAGGTAGGTGCTTGGCTCCGGGCTTGGCTCCGGGCTGAAGTCTGGAGTAAATCAAGGGCTTCTGGGGCCGCCTCTCCGCCGTGAGCCTACGGGAGCCTTTACAGGAGCTGAGGATCGTGTTGCCATGGAAACCTTCGCCCAGCACCTGAGGTGGCGGCCTGGAGCTGGGGGAGGAGGGTTGTTCTTCTTCGCGGTCCGGAAGTCCTCCCAGGGGCTCCCTCTGAGCTGGGTGCATTTGCAGTGGATTTGGGCTGCGGCGAGAGATTAAGCTCGAAGAGCCCTCTAGCGCCAAAGTACAGTAAAGACCCGTCGGAGGCGGCCTGATTTTGTTGCTGTTCGTTTTGTTTTGTTGTCTTCAGCTCGGTCTTTGTAACAGATTGAGAGGGAGGTGATGGATCGGAAGGTGTCAGGTAACTCTCTGCACGGCCCTGTGCTCTGCTGGGTGCTGGGTCGTCAGAAATGAACAGGACAGGGTTTTTACTCCCATGTGGGTGTGGGAGATTCTCAAAATGTTGATGTTTGCGGAGATGGCCAGACTCCCATTCAACCCTCCAGAACAATTACAATAATAATAGCTGTTACTTATTGAGCGTTTATTAAATGCCAGTTTGTGTTCCAGGGCTTACTCTGCATTGCGTCATTCAGTCCATATGTCAACAGAGTACAGATAAGGAAAGTAAGGTCTAGTGAGCAATGAAATTATTAACAATTGTGCAAGATCAGTGATGTAGTGGGATTAAAACCTCTGTCCTTTCTCCTCCAGAGCCAGCACTTTTAACCGTTACTCTTTACTGCTTCTTAGTAGCGAGGTTTTCACAGTTTGCAGAAAAATTAAAATGCATGGAAGATTTTTTTTTTTTTCTTTTTCAAGTATGCCTCCCTTACCCCATTTAGAACTTTGGCTTTCTCTACCATTTGTCTACATTGGAATCTGGTAGAAGATAGTATATGATGTAGTAGGTTGAAATGTAATATGCCAGTGTTTTGTGTTTTTTTTTCTTCAGCATTTTATGTTGATAATATCACCTGTGTCTGTCCCAAGCATCATGGGAGAAGGAAATATTTCTGCCTTTGTATACTTCACACTCCCTATTTTCATCTTAGAAACTGTAATAATAATTTATATCTGCACATACTTTTAAAAAGCTTTCACTTATATCATTCTCATTTAATCTTCACCATGTTGAATTGACCTATGTATAATTTTTATAGGAGTCCAACAGTATTATCAGAACTGAGACAGCTGGGCTTGATTTCTTTATCTGTAAAATAGTGATAATTTTGCCAGCTTCACAGGGTTTTTGTGTTAAAATAAGAGGGTAAAGAATAAGAATGGAAAATCCTAGCACAGTGCTCAAGAAAAGTTCATTGTACTGTCTGTATTTGGGTCTCTTATTCGACAGGCATTTACTGGCTGCTTGTTATAGATACACTCTACTGGATGCTGCAGAAAATATAAAGATGGTGCCAACACAACTGAGTATGGGGAGCTGTGTTTTCTCAAAAAAATGGTTTTTATTAACACAGTATTACCTTGGGATTTCAGACTGTAGAGTACTCTCTTGGGCCTCTTTTTGCATTTGTTCTTTATGCCTGTCTTTTAGAAGTCAACTAAGACATCATTTCCTCCAGGAAGCCTTGCCTGACATCCCTGTCTACCCCACACTCAGCCCGGACCGGATTTGGTGCCTGTGTAATGCCAATGCATTACCCTCATCAGAGTTCTTATTACACTATATCACAATTTTCTCATTGTTTTCCCCACAGATTGGGACTGTGCCTTTTAACTGTAGCTGGAGCACAAGAAGTGTTTGTCTAATGAATGACTTATCCATCTAGGACCTATTTCGACCCGCAGGATAATCCTGTGAACTGGTGAGTTAGAGAGAGTTTTCATGAGACTTAGCAAACTGATCTTAGCATTCCAGAGTGATCACAAATCTCTGACAAATTCTCATGTATAAATTTAATGGTTTGCCTACTCTCCCCCTAACTATACTGAATTAAGATGTGATAATTAACTTTATTCTTTTAGCTAGAATGTCTCTTTGCCTGTGACTAGAGTATGAGATTAGAGTGATTGTTGCCTAGATTTCTCTCTTATAGGCACCTGGCTATTTTAAGTTCTTACAGAAAGAGTTTTTTGGAATTACAGAGTTGTGGATCTCCATCATATAATAAAATGCAACAATCATATACCTAAAGACTTTAGAAGTCTATATGTAAATCCAAATGAGTTTTTTATACTCTCATTCACTTTAGTATGCGTGCTTATAAATTGATCTTATGTTTGTAGCTGAAATTTATCACGTCCAGTGTTTTCTCCTCTATGCCATTTTTAACAGCTAATAGTTCATTGCGTGTGGCCCTTAGTATTGATTTCAGCATGCTACGAAGAAAACCAACACGCCTAGAGCTAAAGCTTGATGACATTGAAGAGTTTGAGAGCATTCGAAAAGACCTAGAGGTAAGAATACAAGCCTTCAAACCGTTAGGAATATTTAAAACAAAACTCTAACTTCTTTTTTCTTTCTTTCTTTCTTTTTTTTTTGTTATTTACTATCAGCTGAAAGAATTAACTCTAACTTCTCAACTCTAGACTTTTAAACCAACAGTTTATTTGAAATCGCTATTTGGATGCTTTACAGGCATCTCACACTTAATGTGTTAGTTTCCTATGGCTGCCATGACAAAGTGCCACCAACTTGGTGGCTTAAGACAACAGAAATTTATTCTTTCACAGTTTTATAGGCCAGAAATCTGAAATCAGTATCACTGGGCTGAAATCAAGGTGTCAGCAGGGTGACACTCCCTCTGGAGGCTCCGGAGAATCCATTCCTTGGCTCTTTTAGCTCCTGGTGGCTGTGGGCATTCCTTGACTTGTGGCCATATCACTCCATGCATCCATGGTCATGTTGCCTTCTCCTCTTCTGTGTGTGAAATCTCCCTCTGCCTCCCTCTTATATATGAGATTGCTTTTAGGGCCTACCTGAATAATCTGGGATAATCCCCTTATTGCAAGACCCTTAATTTAATCACATCTGCAAAGACCCTTTTTGCATATAAAGCAACGTTTATAGGTTCCAGAAATTAGGAACTGATAGCTTTGGGTGCCAATATCTAGCCTACTATACTTTAACATGTTAAAAAAGAAAACAAAACAAAAACTCGTGATTTCCCCCTCAAACCAGACATCGTCCCATTTTCCTCTAGTGTTCCCCATTTCGGTATCTACCCAGTTGCTCAGGCCAGAAACGTGGCAGTCATTCTTGAGTTTTCCCTTTCCCTCCCGCTTTGTGTTCAGTCTATCTGCGAATCCTTTGATTCTGCCACCAGACTGTGTCTAGAATCTCCCCATCCCTTTTCATCTCCACTGTTACCGCCCTACTTCAAGTAACCATCTCTCCCGGTTAATTTCTGTCTCTTCAATTCATTCTCCATCAGGTATCTAGAATGATCTCTGAAAATTTTCAGATCATGTCATTCCCCTGTTTAAAACTCCTCATTGGCTTCCTGCACTTAGAATAAAATCTGAATTCCTTACCGTGGCCTGCAAGATTTTGGATGTTCTAGCCTCTCTCCAGTTTCACCTCCTGCCACCCTTTGCTTTGCCTTTTATACCGCAGCCATACTGGCTTCCTTTCATTTCCTTGAACGTACCAAAATATTCATTACTTCCTCAGCCTTTGCACATATTATTCCTTCTGTCTAGAATGCTCCCCCTTTCTTCCAGTCATATTTAAATGTCACCTCCTCAGTCTGAGAGGCCTCTTTTGACCCTGTCCAAGTTAGGTGTGTCATTCCTATCCATGCTGCATCCATCTCATTAGGCTTTCACAAAGCACTATATTTTTTTTAACAGCATTTATTATAATTTGCAATTATTTATTATAAAATCATAGCATTTATTATAATTTGCAATTATTTATTATAAAATCATGTACATTAGGAACCTTGATTGCAGAAATCATGTCTGTCTTCTTCACCTTTGAGTTCCCAGTATCTAGCATGTAGTAGGAGCTCAATATGTATTTTGTTTTTTTTTTCTTTAGAGAGAGGGTCTCACTTTCTTACCTAGGCCATAGTGCAGTGGTACAATCATAGCTCACGGCGGCCTGGACACTTCTGGGCTCGAGCGATCCTGCCTCAGCCTCCTAAGTAGCTAGGACTACAGGTGTGCACCACCATGCCTGGCTAATCTTTCTAAAAAATTTTTCTGTAGAGACAAGGTCTTGCTATGTTGCCCAGGCTGGTCTCAAACTCCTGGCCTCGAGTGATCCTCCCTCCATGTCCTCCCAAAGTGTTGGGATTACAGGTGCGAGCCACTGCACCTGGCCTCAATACATATTTTTAAGTGTGGCCTTACCACATAGTATTAGATGTCTATTACTAAGACTTAAATTCTTCAGTGGCCTTCAGAATAAATTCCAAATTCCCTAGCATAGCATTCAAGGCCCTTTGTGACCTGGTCCTTGCTTATCTCTCCACTTTATCTTCCGTTGCCAAGTTATCTTTAACTTTAACCTCAGTTACTGTACACACTGTATTCCATTTGCCCAAAAAGCCCTTTCCCTTTCTTTGCCAGGCCGACTCTTACTCATCTTTTGACTCAGCTCCTTCGAGCCTCCAGTGGGATTGGATTCAACCTCCTCCTGTGCTGCCCTCTCTAATAAGTACTGTCACTCTCTGTTATAATTATCTGTATTTCTGTTTTCCCCTGCTGGGCCTGAAGCTCCTTGAAGGCAGGGGTGAGTGTATTCATCCTGCATCTGTTCCCTGAGATACCAGGCCCAAAGGAGGACTCAGTACAAGTCTGTTTTCATTTGCTGTTCTAGTAGATGTTTTGTACCATATGGCAGAGGACGTTACATTTTGCATGCATTCATGAACATGGTGGTTTTATCATATATTGTATATGCTTCATGATAAGACTGATAGCTTAGATTTCTTTCGCCCCTTCTTCATCCCAGTAGAGTTTAGTGTTCTCTAAGCACCATCATTTTTTGCTTCTTAAAAACGCATATTGGCCGGGCGCAGTGGCTCACGCCTGTAATCCTAGCACTCTGGGAGGCCAAAGCGGGCGGATCGTTTGAGCTCAGGAGTTCGAGACCAGCCTGAGCAAGAGCGAGACCCCGTCTATACCAAAAAATATATATAGAAAAAATTAGCCGGGCATGGTGGCACATGCCTGTAGTCCCAGCTACTCAGGAGGCTGAGGCAGGAGGATCGCTTGAGCCCAGGAGTCTGAGGTTGCTGTGAGCTAGACTGACGCCACAGCACTCTAGCCCGGGCAACATAGTGAGACTCTGTCTCAAAAAAAAAAAAAAAAAAACAAAAAAAAACCATATTGAGGTTGGGTACAGTGGCTCATGCCTGTAATCATAGCACTCTGGGAGGCCAAGGCGGGAGGGATCACTTGAGATCAGTAGTTCAAGACCAGCCTGAGCAAGAGCGAGACCCTGTCTTTACCAAAAATAGAAAAAATAAGCCAAGCATGTTGGCAGGCGCCTATAGTCCCAGCTACTGGAGAGGCTGAGGCAGAAGAATCACTTGAGCCCAGGAGTTTGAGATTGCAGTGAGCTATGATGATGCCACTGCACTCTACCCAGGGCGACAGAGTGAGACTCTGTCTCAGAAAAAACAAAAACAAAAACAAAACCACATATTGATAGTGTGTTATTAAGGATGAGCTTTAAGTATGGTTTAAACTTCACTTGTAACCGGTGTCATAAAAGTTAGCATACTGAATTTAGGCTTTGCAGAGTCAGCTCACCATTGAGTTAGTCTTTCCATAAAAGGCAATTATCTAGTGGGTTTGACCTGTTTTAGAGTAACTTAGGAAGGAGGGAAAGTCATACCCTAAGCTAAAATGAAACCAGTAGAAAACTGGTATATTTCATTTTTTACCAAAATTAGTTTGATTAGACTACCATGACTAGATTCTGAAACAGCACTTGTTCATAGTGGGAAGCCTTTTAAATGATTTCATTCTATTTGGATATTTTCAGAATGATGAGCCCTTTGCCTTGTAGAACTTGTTTTCACAAAGGTGTTTGGGTAGAACTTTCTAATGTCACATATTAGTAGTGTAGACTAACTACAGAGTAATCAGGAAGATCATTATATTTGTAACATAGAAGGTAATACCTTATTTGATTCACTGTAATACTTCGATGTTGGCATTTAAATGCTCACAGTTGAGCAGTAAGTGATGAAGAATGGTGGTAATTTCAGTGATTAGAATAGTTGAGCCATTCTTCTAATAAGGAACAACAGTTAAAATAACTGTTCATTCTCTTAGAGAAAGTTATCATCTTTATAGTCAGGTAGTGGTCATTATAGGATAAGTGTTAGTCTCTTCTTAAAAATAAAGTAAGACATACTTTGTGAATTCTGTAGTCACTGTTACGGAAAACAAAAGGAAGCCTCAAAACTCAGACCTTTTGATAGCAAAACCTTCTAGTATTACTTTCAATCTCATGGGATCAGTCAGGTTATAGATTTTTGGTGGTTATTGTTTTACCACTCACTTTATTTTTCCATTTACTCTTTTAAATAATACATTTGCTGAAATATCCTTCGCTTTCCCTTGTCGCTGACTCTTACGTATCTTTCCAGTTGCAGCTTCCTGCTTTGAACCTCCACCACCACTCCCCCAACTCCTCTTCTTTGTGTCTCTCTGGCAGTGTGGGCTTCCCTCTGTCATAGCCCTGTAATTGTCTATTTGCCTATTTCCCTATTAAACTGTGACATCCTGGAAGGTAGGGATGATACCTTTATCTTCATTGTGCCCCTAACTATCCTAAAACTTGGATAACAGTTTATTGTTCTTTAGACTCTAAACCTATCTTTTACCCCATGCCTAGTACATGGTAGGTGCTAAATAAACATTTGCTAATTGAAAGAATGTTGCCTTAATCCTAAAACTTTTATACTTTCAGACGCGAAAGAAACAGAAGGAAGATGTGGAAGTCGTAGGAGGCAGTGATGGAGAAGGAGCCGCTGGGGTCAGCAGTGACCCCAAGAGCCGGGAACAAATGATTAATGATCGAATTGGTTATAAACCCCAACCCAAGCCCAACGATCGCTCATCTCAATTTGGAAGTTTTGAATTTTAGAGATGGATTATCTTGCATGTCAGAGCCCTGGAATGGAATCAAATGATGGCAGAAGTACAAACCAGATCTAGAGAATTGAGTGCTCACAGTCAAGCAGAATGTTTTACCTTCTGCAGAGAGAAATTCTTTTGCATGGGTTCACTGATGCTTAACTTTCACTCTAAGCTGGAATCCAAACTCTGGTTTGTCTCTGGAAAATTTAACTCTGTAAAACTTACCTGATTTTTGTTTTTAAAAATAAATATATTTTTGGAAAAATGTGAGGCATTCTTAATGAAGTATAGTAACACTCTTAACCCCCAGACTTTAAAAGGCAATTGCTACAGAAGTAACATCATTCTTCCCATCTTCATTAAAAGACCCTAAGCACAGAACACTTCCAGTTGATCCCTGCCACTTTCATTTAACTCATTTATTCAACAAGCATTTATAGGGTGCCTACCACTGCCAATCAACAAAGATCCCTGACCTTGTGGAGATTAAATTCTAGTGATTTTGTGTAAATCTAAAGAAGTTATAGGTGCCAGATGTTTACAGAATGGCTTTTTTTTTTTTTTTCGAGACAGAGTCTGGCTCCATTGCCCAGGCTAGAGTGCTGTGGCATCAGCCTAGCTCACAGCAACCTCAAACTCCTGGGCTCAAGCAATCCTTCTGCCTCAGCCTCCCAAGTAGCTGGGACTACAGGCATGCGCCACCATGCCTGGCTAATTTTTTCTATATATTTTTAGCTGTCCAAGTAATTTCTTTCTATTTTTTAGTAGAGACGGGGTCTGTCTCTTGCTCAGGCTGGTCTCGAACTCCTGAGCTCAAACGTTCCGCCCGCCCGGCCTCCCAGAGTGCTAGGATTACAGGCGTGAGCCACCGCTCCCGGCCTGCAGAATGGCTTTATAGCTAGTTTGGGTACAACTTTGGGAGGACAAGCAATGGAAGGAAACAAGAAGAATGCTCTTAACAGTATTACCATCATTCCAATATTTCTTCCTTTCTCAATTTGCCTAAGTTTTCCTAGCAGGAACCAATCTGAGTGGCAGCTTAGAGGATAATTTTGAATCTTGCCCTATTACTTTCACTTTAATTCAACTATAGGGAACCACCAGCTGTGGTAGTAAGAACCTCTTGAATCATCTATTCTAAAGAGACCTCTTAGCAGGATTTTACCTAGGCTTTTTGGAGTAGTTGAAGTCTGAATAAAAAGAATGTGGGAGAGGCAGGGATAGAAGGGAATAGTTTCCCTTCTTGCTCCAGACATTCTCAGAAAACCTTTGTTCTTCCAGTTTAATCTGGGACCTTCAACTCTGTTACTGTCTTAAAAAATCTTGAGTCAGGCTCCTGGTAGGGAAATCAAGTTATGTTATCTTGAAGCCTGCAAAGCCCTTACGGAAGAGCTAACAGTCTGATTTCTGAATGCATGCTACTAAACTTTCTTACTACATTGCTTTCTTAGTCTTCCACAGCTAAATCTAGGAAAGTAGGGGTATCGGGTTGAGTGAGAAGGTGCTGTTTTCAGGAAATTTCCATGCTATTTTATTTATAGAGAAGAGACAATTGCTAGATCAGTAGAAAAGAGCTTATTGAATCTGTAAACTGTTTTTGGCACAACTGAAATCACATGCATTGAGTCTGTATTTCTTAGGTACTACTGTACTAAGAAGTAGTAGAAATACTACTTCTGTTCATTTCTGGATTACCCAAACTCAGGAAGTTGGTCACGTGCTTGTCAAGAGATACTAACTTTATCTAGAAGAATGTACCTTTCATTTTCCTGAAAGCTAGAGTAATAATAACCAGTATATAATAATAAAAAAATCACGATAGCTTGGATGCCTATTTTGTGCCTGCTGTCTTATACATATTGCTCTTAATTCAAATAGGTGCTATATTGCCTTTTTATAAATGAGAAAACTAAAATATGTTTTTTTAAAAATTTTTTTTCTCTTTAAAAATTATTTTTAATTATGGGTGCATAATAGTTGTATATCTTTATAGGGTACATGTGATGTTTTGATACAGGCATACAATATGAATTAATCAAATCAGGGTAATTGGGGTATCCGTCACCTCAGGCATTTAACTTTTTCTGTGTTAGGAACATTCCAATTCCACTCTTAGTTATTTTAAAGTATACCCTAACTTGTTGATTATAGTCATTTTGTTGTGCTGTGAAGTATTGTTCATTCTAACTATATTTTTGCACCCATTAACCATCCCCACTTTATCCTCCCCCCACCCCAGTCTGGTAACTGTCATTCTACTCTCTATCTCCATGAGATCAATTGTTTTTAATATTTTGCTCCCATCTATGAGTGACAACACATGAGATTTGTCTTTCTGTCCTGGGCTTATTTCACTTAACATAATGTTCTCTAGTTCCATCCATGTTGTTGCAAATAGCAGGATTTCATTCTTTTTTGTGGCTATGTAATACCCCATTGTATGTATGTACGACAATTTCTTTATCAATTCATCTGTTGATGGACACTTAGGTTGATTCCGTATCTTGGCTATTGTGAATAGTGCTGCAGCAAACATGGGAGTGCAGATACCTTTTGGATAGACTGAATTCCCATCCTTTGGATATATACCAGCAGTGGGATTGCTGGGTCACATGGTAGTTCTGTAATATTATCAGTTTTCTGAGGAATCTCCGTAATGTTTTCCGTAGCGGTTGCACTCATTAACGTTCTCACCAACAGTGTACTAGGTTCTCCTTTCTCCACATCCTCGCCAGCATTCATTATTGGGCTTAGGGATTTTTAGAATAACTTTTCCTAAGGTCACACTGCTAGTAAGTAGTAGAGCCAGGATTCAAACCCATGGACTCCAAAGGCCATGCTCAACATATTACACTAAGGAAGAGACTAGGAGTGGTGTTAATTGGCAAGATGCCCACTGGAGCATAGTGGGAAGAGCAAATAACACCAGCACCCTGGCATTACCAAAGCGGTAGGCAGGGTCAGGTCTCCAGGTTTGCCAGTGAACTTCCCGGAGGCCCAACTCAGAACCTCTTGCCTGACAGAATAAACACAGGGAAGGGATTATGAGGTGACAAAAAATAGCTTTTAAATTCAGGAATCTCCAGCCAGATGAGGTCCACAGGGGAAAAAAAAGAATAAATTTCAAGAATCCTTGGTATACTGAAATATCTGCAGACCATGAAGACTCTGACTCCTATGCAAAAGTTCACGTGGATCTTCTGGTATATACTAGCTCATCATTTTGAGCAGAGTAGGAGAGTGAGATGAAAACATAAAGGGATCATACCACCTAAAAGACTTTGAGATTTTAAAAACTGATGGTAATGGCTGGACTGTGTGCAGACTATGAGGAGACTAGCTTATTCTGACATCACTCTGGGTGGAAAAATATGCATAGAATCACAAAATCAAAATATTTATTTTGTTCTTTTGCACATGACGCTGTTAAAACATTCCTACTACAGCAATACTGCTCTCCAGGAGCTTACAATCTAAAATAGTCGACATTAATTGTAGACCCAGTGATTAAGGCATTACATCAAACGCAGTCTTTGTATCTTTAGATGTATCTTCTGAAGAAGCAGCTGGAGGGCAGGTTCAAAATTAAATGACATGAAAGTGTACCCCCTGCCCCTCCCTCCCAGCTCCTTATAAGGAACCCCTTGTGACTAGAACTCAAGACCAGTACCCATAGCCTGAAAGGGAATTCCAGACAACCCTACCATAGTAGTGAAGAAACCTTAATTTCTAATCCCCTGGTGGACGCAGTGAGGATTCCCTGTTTGTGGGCAATGGGGGTGCTGAGTGTTCCTCCATCATAAACTGGAGACAGCACCTAAGATTCCACAACTCTGAGGAGGGTACTAGGTTTCCCTTTACCCAGCTTTATACAAGTTCCAGTGGGGCAATTGCTTCTTTTTTGTTTGTTTGTTTTGTTTATTTTTGAGAAAGAGTCTCACTCTGTTGTCCTGGGTAGACTGTAGTGGCATCATCACAGCTCATGGCAACCTCAAACTCCTGGGCTCAAGTAATCCTCCTACCTCAGCCTCCCGAGTAGCTACAGGCACACGCCACCATGCTTGGCTAATTTTTTCTATTTTTGGTAGAGGCCAATTTTTTTTTTTTAATTTATTTTTTATTTTTTGGTAAAGACAGGGTCTCGCTTTTGCCCAGGCTGGTCTCGAACTCCTGACCTCAAGTGATCCTTCCACCTCAGCCTCCCAGAGTGCTAGGATTACAGGCGTGAGCCACCATACCCAGCTGGGGCAATTGCTTCTTAAAGCATGCTTAAGGTTTCCAACAGGTTTATAAATACCAACTTTTGGTTGGTATTTATATCTGCAGCATAGCAATGTCCACTCCATCAGGACTGCTAGGGAGATTTAATAAACTAGACATATGAGATAAAAGACTGAAAGACAGAAAGGGACAGCAGAGTAAGAGGCCAAAGAGATGGGGATACAGTCTTCCAACAGATGTGAACAGGGAAGGAGGAAATGAGAAGTTTGAATTGAAAAGGAACAAAGAAGCCAGGCATTAAATATCAAATGAACAGGGAAACAAATGAAAGTCAATGATATCATGATATTATCATAATCCAAGAGCTCAAGTAAGATGGAATTTAAGCTTTAACTTTTTTCTCCTTCACTGGCTTCATCCTTAGCAATCTAGTCCAAGAATCCCTGAAATTCAGGTTTTTCAGGAAATTATCTCTATCCTGAATACCTAAAGACCTATCCCAAACTGATGTTTCTCTCTGAGTTTCAAATTCATAGCACTTTGTCTTAATTGGCCTTGATTTTATCTTACTGATAAGGTCCTGTTTCTGGAAGGGTACTCTACAGCAGTTCATGCTGAGATTTCTAGAGAGCATCAGAGTCACTACTAAACATTGATTCTTATTTATATCTCATGGTTTTATTATTCCTTGGCTTCTGAGACAACAGGCTATTTAAAAAAAAAAAAATTTGTGGAGATGAGGTCTCAATATGTTGCCCAGGCTAGTCTCAGACTCCTGGCCTCAAGTGATCCTCTCACTTTGGCCTCCCACAGTGCTGGGATTACAGGTGTGAGCCACCGTGCCTGGCCAACAATAGGCTATTTATACCTTAACGTTGGACTCTGTCAGTACCTGTCATTCACTCTGCTCATGCTAAGTATCATTGCAAGGGGATGAAATGAGAGAGAAGCACAAAGCTCTAAATGTTGGTTCATGGATTTTAACCTCTACCGGTAGGCTCATAACCCTCTCTTGGTTCAAAGCCATACAAGTACACATTCCTTGCTCTCCAATATTTAACTGGCACCCATAGAGAAAGTACAAACTTCAACAGGATAGTACTGTTTTGTGTCCTCCACTCTGAGGCACAGTTGGATCTAGCACCAAGGAGGGCAGGATTTAACAGACCAGCAAAGGAAGACTCCCTTTACAGAGGTAGTTTGGACTGCCATGTAGACGAACAACTGAACAGAATAAAAATCCAATGTGATTCTTCATTGAGAAATGAAGTTTCGGCCACTTGTGATCTAATTAAGCCCCTCAGAGTAACAAAGACCGTCACGTGGAGAATGAGGGTCTGCCTGGGATGGGCATGGATGTGAAGAAAATCTGGCCATCAGCAAACCACACCCTCAGTCTCTCCAAAGAGAAAGCTGGACCTTTGCCCTTCTGGACCATGACTGGTGGATTTACACTGCAGATCAAAGGTCTCTCTCAACATTCAAACTACTCAGAAGAAAACACAGGTCTTTAAAAATAAGGACTAGTGATTTCATATAGGCTAGTGAAAATACTCTGGCTACAGCTCTTTGTGCATGTGCGCGTGGGCACACATATACACAGCTGGAGCTGAATAAATGTGGAATGATTAAGTATTGATCAGCAGCATTTACTAAGTGAGTTAAGCCCAGACATACCACCCACCAGACAGCAATTCAAATGCCCATGCCCAATATCAGGTAACCCACCCCACCAGGTGATACTTTCTTAGTTTAAAGCACAGATTCTCAAAGTGTGGTCCTCGGACCATCAGCAGGAGCATCATCTGGGAACTTAGAAATGCCAGTTTTGGCACTATGTGGTGAGGCCTGGCAACTAGTGTTTTAACAAGCCCTCCAAGTGATTGTGACATATGCTAAAATTTGAAAATCACTGGCATAGAGGCAGACATGTGAAAACAATAATGGGAAAAAATAATTCAAACTCTTTTGTTTCATTCAGCTGGGATAAACCAAGGTACCAAGTCAAAGTAAAATGCCAGTGGTTTTATTTTAAAATATCTATTTCTATTTTCTCAAATTGATTGTCTTTTTTTTTTTTTGACTGGCGAGTTCATTCTAATCAAAATGTTAAGTGGAAACACAAGTTGATGAGTTAGCCATCCAAGAATACACACTCTGCAAGCTCTAGGCCTGTATTGAGTCTCATACCAGCCCTCTGCACACTACAAAGATTTCGGTGCAACACATCACACCTAGAGAAAGGCACAATGTATTTCCCATTCATTAAGCCCAAGGACAGGACCTTATTTTCTAATGTTAAGTTTGAGTTCTGGGTTTAGTTGGGCAAGAATTTCCCTCAGCTGCCATTAATCCTGGGTGAAATTAATCTCTTTCCATCACTGACCCAGGGGAAAAAACCCACCAAATTCACTTACTGTCTGTTTAAAAAAAATCCAGAAGATTAAAAAAGGAAGCAGATGATCAAGTCATTGAATAGAAAACTACCTGGATTAGACAAGAACATATAACTTAGATCTAGAATGATGGGGGAGGAAAAGACATCTCATGGGTGGCTTCTCCTCAAGAGATATGGGAATCTCAGCTTATTAGAAAAAAGTTTGGGAGGTTACCACTTTAGCTCAGAGACTGTAAACTAAACCTCTGTTGAGCGGGGGTGGGGGTGGTGGTGTGTGTGTGTGTGTGTGTGTGTAAAGAGACAGGAGCAAGAAGGGATGATTGGAGCAGGAATCACATCTTCTAGTCTCGAACTGCTTCCCACTGCAATCGGTAAGGCCACGCCACGGAGTTTGACGTTAATGGCAATGTTCTGTGATGTCCACTACCACTGCCTTCTTCCAGCTGAAGAGAAAGTATCCCATACCAGCCCCTGCTGCTACGGCAATGCAGAGGTACCCATTGTAGGTCATGAAGATGAGCATGAGGAAGTAGCTGATGACCACCTGGATGATATGCAGCACTGTCTGCAGGAGGTGGGGAAAGCTCAGCATCTGTTGCCTGGAGAGTAAACAGGGACACAACAATTAGGAACTCCAAGGAGCTCTGCAGATCAGGAGAAAGGGGATACAGCTGTTGCCATGAGCTCAGCTGTAACTAGACTGTCTCAAAGCCACCCTGGCAACTCATGGGTACTTGTGTATATGTATATTGTCTATCGGTCCCTGGAAATGAAACAGCATAGGGCTGTCAGGTTTATAAGCACTGGCCAGATAGGGTTATATGCTAGTGGGAGGAACCCTCTTCCAGAGGAGGAGAAAGGGACGAGGAGTAATCCCAACTTATCGCCTCCTTAGATCCTGAAAGGGAAGCCCTAAACTCTCCCGCACCCATTTGCCTGAGCATTTACACGCCTTCCACCTTTGCAAAGTTCACATTCTGCGAAAATGGAAATAGAATTGAGGGTCGGGTGGTGTAGTAGAAATGACTTAATTAGGGACCAGGAGACCTGGTTACTCATCTCCAGATAGGTCACAACTTTTTGGAGCCTCAACAGGCTCCCCATTACAATGGGAACAAATAATACTGTTTGCTTGAAAACAGGATGTTGGTCTATAGGATTTCTTAAGGTCCAATCTAGTTTTGAGACCTACATTTTAATTAAAACTGAATCTCAAAAGGCTTTTGCCTATCTATGGGAAAAACCAATAATCATCCAAATACTTTCTTAGAACACAGAAATCTGTACAGTCTTACATTGTAAACAAAATAAGGATAGAACTGGCTAGGTAGAACTTTTTATAGAAAGGAATCCATTGCACTCTGCCATTGTTTTACACCTTGACCTGACTTTCTTAACTTATTTGTTATTATTTTGGCAAATATTTTAAAATACAGATCCCTCATTTACTTTTTTGCAAAGCAACCAACACTCATAACTCAGAACATTCACATTTGCAGAAGAGTTCCTATCACTCCTCCTTTGGCCTGCTGATGACCCACGACCCCAAACCTCCAAAGACAGTTTTGATCAAGGTCATACAGAATCATTAACTCAGAAAGAAGGCTGCTGCTAATAAAATAGCTGCTTTGCTGCTTAATTAATCCAACTCTCTAGAACTTCATCTGGATCTGTTAAATCTTCTTACCCAACAGTTTTGTGAGTCTCCATAAGGATGGTGCCATTTGGTCCTGGGACAGGCATGGAATTGTACCGAATGCTGACTTGTGACTTACGCAGCAGGCTCTCTCGGGCTATCTTGAGTCCTTCATAGAACATTGCCAGTAAAAACACTGCCACAAAAGCTCCAGCCATTTCTAAGTAAGGAAGGAAAAGATGGTGTGCTGTCAAACGTGCAAAATCATTAGCCAGTATGCTGTCCAGCTAGAGAGACACATAGAAAAAAATGCTACTCTCAGTTTCTGAAGACATTGTATTGTTACCTCTTCACTTGCCCAGGTAGAAGAACAGCTAAGATAGTGAACACCATTGCCTCTGCTGAAGAACATATTTACTTTCTGATTAAGGTAAGAAAAATCATCTGAACAACAGTAACATTTTGGTCTGACAGCTTGATGGCATTAAATTAGCTTTGTTATGTTGAAACAACGTAGAATATGGAAAAAGGGGAATAAGAACAACTTAGTTTTAAAAGTGCTGACTACATGTCTTGAATAGGTATTTCATTTCTAAATCTTTCACACTGTGAAATACTGGTAATACTTGACATAAATTCAAATTGCTAATTTAACATACTACCTGAACTAAATGCTCTCCTTAGTCCCCAAACTAACTTTGTGGATCTAAAGATATACCAAGTACCTAAAGCAGTCCAACTGACTATTGAGCTTGGGCGATTGCAATTTAAAGTATACCAATAGAGGATAATAGACACAAAGAGATGGGTGATCACGTGCCCTAAAACTAGGAGTGACTCTAAGATGGCCATGCCAAGAACTGGGAAGGACATGGGCCATAGTTTGGTAGACCAAAAGAACACTGTTCCAGGCAGCTCTAGAAGGTCTGGGTCCTCGTCCTACCTCTGGCAGACTAATTCTTTGTGACTTAGGGCAAGTCATTTCACTATTTGAGGCTTAATTTATCTGTAAAATAGAAGGATTGTACTAGATCAAAAGTTTTTAACTGAGGGTTATTTTGTGGGATTTGAACTTGACTGTAGTCTTTTGTCCAGGACCAATAACTTATTGAACAAGGAAACACTCTGGAAAAGCATGAAAGGAAATGGATTGCAAAATACTTCTATCTGATATCTAAATTATTTTTCAGAGTGCCAAAACATACACATTATTTAAGGGAGGTTTACCAGAGGACCAAAAAAAGTATTGTGTATCATACCTTCTGGGTAGGAAGTAGGAACCAAGAAAGTTATGTATCATGACCATAGTGATTCAGTAACTAGGATGGAAAGAGGTGCTGGGTTTCCAAATTCTTTGTCACTTGTCTCTCATGTGACTGTCACCTTCAAACAACACCTGATAGCTTACTCACCTCCAGCTGTATTGATCACCAAACCGGAAAACAATAGTTCCACATTTTTAAAGCCAAAGTAGAAGGTCATAGGCTGCCAGAAAACCAAAAGTCAGTTAGAAATGAATGAAAATCCTAAATGAGAATTTCAGGCAAAGAAGCTTAGAACATTTAAAAGTAGTAGGTCTGGATAACAAGCTAGGAAGAGACATTCACTGAGGCCTTCACCCTCACTCTAGCATCACTACCACAGGGACCAAGCATGGGTACTCTCCTAGACCCCCACCATCAACTTTTGTCTTTTTCTCTTTTCCACACAAAGCATAAAGACCAGAACTTAATTTAGAAAAGAGTCAATTTTAAAAGAAGGGACTACAGAAGGAAAAACCTTAGAATCCTGATTCTGGTATGATTTCTGTAAGTAACTTGCCATATGATCTTGGGCAAATCATTTGACTTGTTTGGGTCTGCTTTAGTTTTCCTCATTGGTAAACTGATTTTTAAAGATAATAACCTTCTAGTGCTAAAATTCCATATTCCATTCCTTCTTTTATTTTTTAGAAACAGGGTCTGGCTGTGTCACCCAGGCTGGAATGCAGTGGCATGATCACAGCTCACTACAATCTTGAAATCCTGGGTTCAAGCAATCCTCCCACCTCAGCCTCCTGAGTAGCTAGGACTACAGGCATGTACCACCACATCAGGCTAATTTTTAAATTTTTTTGTAGAGACGGGGTCTTGCTATGTTGCCCAGGCTGGTCCCAAACTCCTGGCCTCAAGCGATCCTCTCAACTCAGCTTCCCAAATTGCTGGGATTATAGGAATGA